GTTTTGTGGGCCAAATCCAGCTAAGCACAAAAAAAAAAAAAAAAACCCGAATGAATCGATGTCATTCAGGAAAATCTTGTTTTACAAAAAATTGTTTGCTAAAAGCAAATTGTTAAAAAAAAAATAGATCATTCCCAAAGTAGTATTTAGGGTAACATTGTATACTTTGGAAATATGAAATATGAAAAAAAAAATCTTAAAAAAAAAAAAAAAATGTAATAAAAATTAAAAAAAATAAATAAAAAAAAATTTTTTTTTTTTTCATATGTCACCAGTCTGCCCCTGTCACCGCCATGCCAGTTATATGAGACGCTTATCGCACGGGGAAGGATGTAAAAAAAAAATATGAAAAAAAATTTTTTTAATTTTTTAAAATTTTTCCCGAAAAAATATGACAAAAAAAATACAACTTCAAAAAACCGCCTGCTCTTATGAAGACGGGGTGCTACTCTGCAAAAAGGGGTTTTTTGGGGGGATATCTGTACTTTTCTGACATTCTTAAACCTCAAAAAATTTAAAATTGGCTGTCAGTACTTCGGGATTGTCAATATTCAACTATACTAGTTTGTGACTCTATAACTTTTTAAAAACAAAAAAAATCATCTAATTTGGGGTTTTTCACCAAAGAAAAGTAGCGAATACATCCGGTAAATTTATAAAGAAAAATTTATTTAGTTGCAAATTTTTTTCAAAATTTTCGTCTTTTGGTTTAATTTAGCAAAAAAAAAAAAACCCCACGGTATTAAAAGCCACCCCAAAAAAAAGCTCTATTGTGTAAAGAAAAAGTAAAATTTTAGTTTGGGACAATGTTGTTGACCGGCAATTATCATTCAAAGTGTGGAGCCGAAACCGAAAAAATGGCCCGGGGGAGGGAAAGGGGAAAATTCCCCGGTTGGAAAAGGAAAGTGTTTCTAAACCTGCATTTAAATTTTTGGGCTCCCTGGACCCTGCTTTCACTATATCTGGTCTCCCCAACCCTGCATTCACATAAAAAAGGTCTGGAAGGGTAAAAGTGCCCGGTATGGAAATGGTTAAAGTGTTACTAAACCCTGCATTCACTATATTTGGTCTCCCTGGACCCTGCATTCACTATATCTGCTCTCCCAGGACCCTGCATTCACTATATCCGGTCTCCCTGGACCCTGCATTCACTATATCTGTCTCCCCGGACCCTGCAATCACTATATCTGGTCTCATTTCCCCGGACCCTGCATTCACTATATATGGTCTCCCCGGACCCTGCGTTCACTATATCTGGTCTCCCCGGACCCTGCATTCACTATATATGGTCTCCCCGGACCCCGCATTCACTATATCTGGTCTCCCACAGTACACACAACATGGAAATGCAATTATTTTAGTAAATATAAACTGCTAAATACCTTTTCTCATCAGCAGTTAGAGCAGTCTTGTGACTTCTATCAGTGTCCAGCAAAGCACTAGTTAAAGCTTGTAGGAGGAGTTTTCATTCTCTCCTGATTGTCCTATGAGGCTGCATTACCCCTGACCCTCTGGACAGCACTGAATGGCCCTGTGCTGATCACATTCACTCTCCCAAGGAAAACATCTCTAGCAATACACACCAAACTGAGCATGTGCAGAATGGCTACAGTACAGTCTGTCTTATCAAGAGATGAGGCATGGACATTTGAACAAGAGGAGGAGCAGAGAAGTCAGGACCAAACGGCCTTTTTACACAATGCAGAGGATTAGCCCCTTAGGTTCCACAGTGAGTATAACAAGCATGCTTTACTGCATCTACAGACTGATTGTACTGTTGTGGGTTTAGTAACACTTTAATTTTTGTTTTGGATTTTAATTAAACTTTTCAACGTTATCACATTATTTGTGCCTTTTATTTATAGTACCCACCCCCCCCGCCTGTGAGTGGAAAATGATCAAAATATAAAGGATCGTGGGAAACACTTTTAAAAGACGCATTGCAGACCATTATTTCCAGGAACATTTCCGGTGAGTTATTTGTGAAGCACAGGATGGTCATTGACGTGGATCACAAATAATAATGGAGGAGGACAAGTTGTAAACCAGACACAGGATTGTAATTTTAAAACGTTTGCAGAGCTATTCATCCCCCACCGTGTATAACAATCAGAATATACAGAATATACAATGTATTACAAAGCGACATTGTGGAACAGGAATGCATTCTCTACAAGTATTCCTGCAGTCACTCAACACTAATGATAAGAACATCTTCTTCTCCTGGGAAACTAGTGGGGAATCTATTAACTTCTTGGACCTCAACATCTCAGTTAAGAACAATAAACTGGTGACTACTACTTATTTTAAAAAATGTAGACCGAAATGGCTACATTTCTTTAGATAGCTGTCACTAACCCCCCAGTGGCTTCTCAACATCCCCAAGGGACAATTTGTCCGCCTGCGAGAAAAGCACAAGTCCAGAAATTAAGAGAAAGGTTTGAACAAAAAGGTTATAATAAAGATTTCATCTCTAGAAAGATAGAGGAGGTAGAACATATGGATAGAACCCAACTGCTTAATGATAGGGAGAGAGTGAAACATGTAGATCAGTGGTTCTCAACCTTTCTAATGCCGCGACCCCTTAATACAGTTCCTCATGTTGTGGTGACCCCCAACCATAAAATTATTTTCGTTGCTACTTCATAACTGTAATTTTGCAGTGGGAGGACTAGCGCCCCATCACTGCTGTCAGTGGGATGAATAGTGTCCCATCATTGGTGTCAGTGGGATGAATAGTGTCCCATCATTAGTGTCAGTGGGAGGAATAGTGCCCCATCATTGGTGTCAGTGGGGGAACAGTGCCCCATCATTGGTGTCAGTGGGAGGAATAGTGTCCCATCATTGGTGTCAGTGGAGGAATAGTGTCCCATCATTGGTGTCAGTGGGAGGAATAGTGTCCCATCATTGGTGTCAGTGGGGGGAATAGTGCCCCATCATTGGTATCAGTGGGAGGAATAGTGCCCCCATCATTGGTGTCAGTGGGAGGAATAGTGCCCCATCATTGGTGTCAGTGGGAGGAATAGTGTCCCATCATTGGTGTCAGTGGGAGGAATAGTGTCCCATCATTGGTGTCAGTGGGGGAATAGTGTCCCATCATTGGTGTCAGTGGGGGGAATAGTGCCCCATCATTGGTATCAGTGGGGGAATAGTGCCCCATCATTGGTATCAGTGGGGGGAATAGTGCCCCATCATTGGTATCAGTGGGAGGAATAGTGCCCCATCATTGGTGTCAGTGGGAGGAATAGTGCCCCATCATTGGTGTCAGTGGAGGAATAGTGCCCCATCATTGGTGTCAGTGGGAGGAATAGTGCCCCATCATTGGTGTAGTCAGTGGGAGGAATAGTGCCCCATCATTGGTGTCAGTGGGAGGAATAGTGCCCCATCATTGGCGTCAGTGGGAGGAATAGTGACCCATTGTGGGTGTCAGTGGGGGGGGAGGAATAGTGCCCCATCGTTGGTGTCAGTGGGGGGAAGAATAGTGCCCCATCGTTGGTGTCAGTGGGGGAGGAATAGTGCCCCATCGTTGGTGTCAGTGGGGGGAGGAATAGTGCCCCAATCGTTGGTGTCAGTGGGGGGAGGAATAGTGCCCCATCGTTGGTGTCAGTGGGGGAGGGAATAGTGCCCCATCGTTGGTGTCAGTGGGGGGAGGAATAGTGCCCCATCGTTGGTGTCAGTGGGGGGAGGAATAGTGCCCCATCGTTGGTGTCAGTGGGGGGAGGAATAGTGCCCCATCGTTGGTGTCAGTGGGGGGAGGAATAGTGCCCCATCGTTGGTGTCAGTGGGGGGAGGAATAGTGCCCCATCGTTGGTGTCAGTGGGGGGAGGAATAGTGCCCCATCGTTGGTGTCAGTGGGGGGAGGAATAGTGCCCCATCGTTGGTGTCAGTGGGGGGAGGAATAGTGCCCCATCGTTGGTCTCAGTGGGGGGAGGAATAGTGCCCCATCGTTGGTGTCAGTGGGGGGAGGAATAGTGCCCCATCGTTGGTGTCAGTGAGGGGAGGAATAGTGCCCCATCGTTGGTGTCAGTGGGGGGAGGAATAGTGCCCCATCGTTGGTGTCAGTAGGGGGAGGAATAGTGCCCCATCGTTGGTGTCAGTGAGGGGAGGAATAGTGCCCCCATCATTGGTGTCAGTGAGGGGAGGAATAGTGCCCCATCGTTGGTGTCAGTGTGGGGAGGAATAGCGTCTCATCGTTGGTGTCAGTGGGGGGAGGAATAGTGCCCCATCGTTGGTATTAGTGACACAAATGATGGGGCACTATCCCTCCCACTGACACCAATGATACTTACCTTGCTGACTCCTGCTCCACCCTGGGCTCGCTCTCTCCCTCTCCCATCTACAACCTGCATACCTGGCTGCAGCAGCAAAATTTGCACTTACCTGTCAGCTGTCTTCCTTCTCTGGCCTCCCTCTTCACTAGTTCCTGCAGCTCCCTCGATCTTCTTCGATCTCCGCGCGCTGCCGCTCGGCTCTCCTCCTCTCCAAGCTCCACCTCCTCGCCGGTGATTGGCCGCCTGTGTGCCTCTCCTGAGCTACAGTTCCGGTGGCCAATCAGCGGCGAGGAGGCGGTGACAGGGGCAGCATATCATCCCGCCCACACATCGCCGGAGACAGGAGCGGTGTCTCGGTTCCTAAGACCATCGGAAATATGTTTTCCGATGGTCTTAGGCGACCCCTGGGAAATGGTCGTTCGACCCCAGGTTGAGAACCGCTGATGTAGATGATCTGGTACCTATTATTCTAAACTATAATATACATCACAAAAAGATTGAGAAGATTTTTTTGAAACAATGGCCTATTCTGCAATCAGATCCAGCTCTGACGAAGGTTATACCTGCCAAACCAAAATTTATATATAGAAAGGCTCCAAATATTAGAATCGGTTTGGTAAAGAATGTGATTGACCCACCCCAGACTAATTTGAGAACTACTATTATTGACCTAAAAGGTTTCTACCCCTGTAAAACCTGCCATGCGTGTAAGGAGACAAAGGGGATAAATACAAGAAGGAAACAATTTCAGGCAACAACAACAGGAGTAACATATACTATCAAAGATTTTATATCCTACCAGACAGTAGGTGTAGTATATGGGCTCCAATGTGAGTGTGGACTTCAATACATAGGAAGAACAAAGAGACCTATGTGGAAAAGGATCAGGGAGCATGTGCAGAACATCAAAAAAGGTCACACTAAACATAGCGTCTCTAAACATTTTGCCATCCATCATAACAGTGATCCTACAAAATTGAAATTTTGGGGCATAGAGAAGTTTAACAATCATTGGAGAGGAAGTAACAAGGTCAGAGCCACTAGCCAGGCAGAATCAAAATGGATTTTCCTGATGAGGTCTCAATACCCGAGAGGTTTGAATGTAGAATTTGATTTAAATTGCTTCATTAGTAACTTTTAAGCAATGGCCAGTTTATCTTTTACTTGTGTCAATATGACTATGGCATTTGATTTATGTATTGGTACACGCTCAGGTATTAATTAGTTCATATATGTAACAGGATTCCTCTATATCAGTGATGGCGAACCTTTTTGAGCCCGAGTGCCCAAAACTGCAACACAAACCAACTTTTTTATTTCAAAGTGCCAACACTGCAATTAACCACTTGCCTACCTGGACGCATTGACAGACGGCACTGATCGGTGGCACTGCTGGGCATCATTGATGGGTGGCACTGATGGGCAGCACTGATGGGCGACACTGCTGGGCACTGACAGGTGGCACTGCTGGGCAGCACTGACAGGTGGCACTGATGGGCAGTACTGACAGGCGACACTGCTGGGCACTGATGGGTGACACTGCTGGGCACTGATGGATGGCACTGCTGGGCATCATTGATGGGGTGGCACTGATGGGCAGCACTGATGGGCGATACTGCTGGGCACTGACATGTGGCACTGCTGGGCAGCACTGACAGGTGGCACTGCTGGGCAGCACTGACAGGCGACACTGCTGGGCACTGATGGATGGGACTGCTGGGCATCATTGATGGATGGCACTGATGGGCAGCACTGATGGGCGACACTGCTGGGCACTGACAGGCGACACTGCTGGGCACTGATGGATGACACTGCAAGCAATCTCACCTCTGGCAGCGTCTGTGTGGCTTCCAAACCCAGCAGCTCATTCCCATCCACGCTGAACACGTTGCCCCTGGCCCCGGAGCAGTGTGGGAGCCTCTTCCTCTCTTCCGCGCCCATCCCCGGGTACATCACCCCTGGTGCCAGAGCCGCATTGGAGCCGTTTCCTCTCGTCCACGCCCACCCTGGCCCCAGAGACATGTGGGAAATGTAGTTTGATGGGGATCCAGTGTGGACGAGATCTGGATGGCCGGTCCATGCGCGCTCATCATCCTCTTCTTCCTGGCGTGCCCACTGAGATGGCTCTGCGTGCCAGCTCTGGCACGCGTGCCATAGGTTCGCCATCACTGCTCTATATGGTGGTTACATCTCTAGGATGCTGTATAATGAATACCATGATGATGGTGTACTGTACATAAGGCCTTTTTCGGGTCTTCAATATAATGTATAGAATTATATGGGTACAGGTTTTTATATAATTCTAGTGGTATATTCCCATGGTATGGGACTCATACCTTTATATATCTTTTAATTTTAGTTTTATTTTAGTGAATGTGGTAGGTTTTTGACATCACATACCTTATCAGTTGATTCGGGTTGATGATGTCTACTTATCTAATTTCTTATTAATTTTTTATATATATTTTACTACATGTAGGTTTTTAGCCTTACATATGGTCTAAATCATTAATTATCCTATTAGATATACACTCGTTATGAGTATATATATATATTTATGAGGGACTGCTACTGTTAATCCCTAATTAGTTTACATTAGATGTCTCCGTTTCTGTAGCCGTAATATCATGATGGCTGAGGGTGCTTGGTGAGCTCCAATACAAGGGCGGCCAAGTCCCGCCCATCTAAACCACTGATTGGCTAACAAATTAGATAAATAGTGCTCCATCCATGATAGGCGTATATCCTGATGAAGTCACGTGTTCAAAGTGACGTAACGCGTAGATACGCCAGTGGGAGGAGCTTATACGACCGAACGTTCTGACGTCATATCCGGCGCAGGGCGCCATCTTGGTGCTCCTTTACCTGAATGCAGTACACCCTTTGAGTGGGTGTGAAGGCCTGTTTGTAATAAATGAGCATGTGAGTAGATCTCTGTTTTTATTATTGATCTAATAAAGCGGTTTTTACACTATGTAAGTTCTTTTGCCTTACTGGTGACCACTTGGGAGGGATATTTATCGGTACAATACCAACGATCCGAGATATAAGAGAAGAGAGGAGGGGAGTCCCACCACTATTTCCTGAAGGACCAACCATCTGAAGGACCCATCCAACTCCAGGGGAAAGATCCATTATATACAAAAGGCTCATTGTCCTTAGGGGCCCTGGGCAGGAAGGTGAGGGGGCACTCCACCTATCTGAGGATTGGCACTTGCAGTTCACACCTGCATGATATTTTATGCACATGGACACTATTCACTTTATTGTGTTTTAAGTCACCATAGTGCATGAGAAGTTCTTTAAGTGTATAATACCACCAGCCTATAATTTATTATTTTCTATATGTGGTATGGCTGTCTAGGCTATATAATAATACGGTGGTAAAAGGCAAAATATAAGAATATGTAATTTGATGCAATATTTTTCTTTTGGTTTAAGCGCCGTACTGCTTTACACCTACTTTTCTGAATACTGTTGGTGTTGAGATTGTGGCTCCTTTAGTGCTGGCTGCTGAGTAGTATCAGTATATTTTAGCGGCACAGGAGTGACAATTTATTTGAACGTTTAAACAATCTGTTGGGTGTATTTATAAAAGTTGCAGAGCTGTTGGTCCTGTAACTGCAGTGTTCTGTGCTGAAAGAATATCATTAGGCTATTTTATCTCCAGGTTATTGTTATTCTTCATACAGAAGAGAGCAAATCAGGAAAATGCCACAATTATGGCCACTAGATGGAGCTGACATCATAATAAAAAAAAGTAGGGGTCTTCAAAACGTTTTCGCACTTTTATATATAAAAGAGTTTAAAAAAGTGCGCAGAGTTTTAGAAGAACCGTGGTATATATTTCCTCCTTGAACAGCCTTATACGTGCACCACAAAGTATCAGGAGATACGAAGAAACAGCAGTGAGGCGCTAATCCTGAAAGCGGCTTAAGGCACTCTAAGCAACCAATAACACGTTTAAAAGCAATAACATAAAAATAGTGCAGCGCTGAAAATAATGACCAAAATGACCAAAAAAAAGTAGTCCACTAAAAGTCTATGTCATATAAAGTATCCAGTGTCAGATGTGGATTCAGAATAGGTGATCCGTGTGGAAATGGCTGGAAAAAACGCACTCACCAGAATAAACCACATAAACGCCTGTGTGTATATAAAGCTCATGGATCTTCAATCCAGAGGGAAGTAAAAGCTGATCCGGTTACAGGAATGTGTGGATCCCGTCCTCCGCAGATGCAGTAACAGATCTTCCTTAACACGATTAGATGTAGAATTCCAAGACCAGGGTTCTGCAAGCAAAAGCTCCTCAGGGAGTTTTAGGGAAGGACACCCATAGTGATGAAGTAAGTAATAAAAAGGCAGCTTTATTCACAATTATGATATCCAATTCAAAGCAGGCAGGTATCATACAGATGTGGTTCAGCAAGACAACTAACCCTGGTACTTTGAATAGTGGCCGCCGGGCCTCCACGTGGCACCCGGCGGCGTAAGCAATTCTCGACGTCCAGGCCTCCTCCTTACGGCGTTACGTGCGCACGCACATCTTCAGAGGTATGGAACCATTGACGCGTGGACGACTAATGGGCGCATATAATAATATATGGCATAATGCGACCATGCGCATAGTAGCGGTGTGTGCCAATGCGCAAAACCCAAGGCGCATGCGCGTGGCATTCCGTCTTCCATTGTTAAATGGAGCTCGGAGACGCAGGGTTGGGAGGGCGAAATGCCCTATTGTTGACAGTTGTCAAAAAGAAGTCAAGTTCAACAACGGTGTAAAAATACACCTAATTAAAACAATCCGATAAGGATCTATGTAAAATATGCAACAGAGGCGCTATTAGCGCCAATATGTTGAACTTATTCCCAATTAGAAAGTATCTATGGTAAATGTATACATGCGTCATTATAGCTTAAAATTAATCAAATTTTAGTGAAGACATCATATACATAAA